TCCAGAGGCTCCCGGGTGCCGTTAGCACATGCGCTTGTACGTGTAGATGTAGGCCTTGCAGTTGGGACACGTGTGTGTCACGTCCTTGAAGTCATCGAACAGGCAGGGGATCAGGCAGCAGCAGAGATCACACCTGGAGCACAGGGACAGGCAGAGAGGCTGAGCTGGGGCAGCCCCTGGGCACGGGGCAAGAGATGTAACTGCAGGGGCTGTCACCCAGGACCCCCTGTGCTGCTCCAGTGCCACCCCTGTGCCAAGGTCCCCACCGTGCCCAACGGCTCAGCCAAGGCCACCCAGGACCAGGCTGAGCACCCAGCACGAGGCCCCAGCTCTGCTTGCAGCACCTACCCCACGAAGCAGCAGAAGAAGCCCAGGAGGAAGCTCATGAGCCCGATCTCGTAGGAGATCTTGGTGGTGATGGCTTGCTGGCAGTGGGGACACACAGTCTGCACGGGGGCTCCCTGGAAGATCTCTCCCTGCAGCACTGTCACCGTGGTGGCAGCTCCCGGGGGCACCAGCACTGTGGCCGTGTGGCCACCAGGAGAGGGGTAGGGGCCTGGGGCAGGGTAGTAGCCCATGGGGGGGTGAGGGCCTGGGGGTGGGTAATATCCTGCTGTGAATGAGAAACACAAACAAGTGAGCACCTCTGCACACGGCAGGACAGCCCAGATCCTTACTGGGGAGACCCCAACCCTGCTGCAACACCTCCCTTTGAGTACAGCCTTGGGCCAGCCCTGCCACAGGCACTGTGCCCCCCAGCCCAGCCCAAGGAACTCCTGCAAGCTCCAACTGGCAGCTCCAGCCCCCTCTTGGGCAGCAGGAAACGCTGCTGTTGCTGCTGCTGCCAATCCCCACCCTGTCCCCAGCCCCTGCAGGACTCACCTGGTGGCACGTAGGGCCCAGAGCCATCCGTGGGCATGTGGGGGGGGATGAACCCCGGCTGCGAGGGGGGCTCATAGGGGGGAGGTCCGAACTCAGGAGGGGGGATCGGAACCCCCTGGGGCTGTCCCACCACTGGGGTGACACTCTCTGAAAGGAAACACAGTCAGCAGCCAAGGAGGCAGGGAAGGGAGACAAGAGGTGGGGGCAACCCCTTAAGCCACATTCTTCTCTGTCACAGACATGTTTTATGAAAAATCCTTTCCTTAGGATTTTTCCTCCTGAGAAGCTGAGAGGCCTGAGGAACAAAATGTAAACATTGATTATCTGCTGCTGTGGAATGCAACAGGTGCATCTGTGATTGGTCTCATGGTTGTTTCTAATTAATGGCCAATCACAGTCAGCTGGCTCAGACTTTCTGTCCAAGACACAAGCCTTTGCTATCATTCTTTCCTCTTTCTATTCTTAGCCAGCCTTCTTATAAAATCCTTTCTTATATTCTTTTAATATAGTTTTAATATAATTATATAATAAAATAATAAATCAGCCTTCTGAAACATGGAGTCAGATCCTCATCTCTTCCCTCATCCTCAGACCCCTGTGAACTCTGTCACACTCCTCTGGGCCACAAGAAACCCAAGAGCACCCCACAGCAGGGAGCAGTGCCAGGCTTTGAGCTGGGTCATTGCCCCTTGGAGCCCTCCTGCCTCCCTCAGGGGTGCCATGGGGACAGAGGGAGCCAGGCAGGCCCAGGGCAGCCCCGGCTGGGTGCTGTGTGTGGCAGTGCCCCCCAGTACCTGGTGCCGAGGGGGGGCCGTGCTTCTCCTCTATCAGCGGCGCCGAGGGGCCCCCCGGGTAGGGCGGGGGGGGATCGTTGGACATGGCTCAGGCAGCCCTGCAGGGACAGAAACCTTCAGGTGACCTTGGCAGCCTTGGTGGCACATGGAGCTGGGGATGGAGGTGACAGGAACAGAGGGGCCAGGGTGGTGCCAGCACTGCACCAGCCCCAGCTCCCCCCAGGCAGAAGCAGGGCTGTGGCCCCAAAGCTGGACAGGCTCTGAGCAGGCAGCAACCCCAAGGTGTAAAATCTTCCTGCCGGCTCCATGGAAAGCCCCCCAGTGCACAGAACTCATCAGGGCAGCTCTGGGCTGTGTGGCCACGCCCCAGGGCAGTGCTGGGCTGGAATGTGCTGTGCCAAGGCTTGGCTGCATCACTGGGGTGCCAAAGGTGGGGAAGAGATGCCCACAGCCCCAAAGCTCCACCCTCAGTGACACAAGGCTGTGCCCTGAGGGATGGCAGGGTGCCCACCCTGAGCCTGAAGCACAAACTCCAGGACAGAGATTGCAAACCCCACAGAGCATTTCCAAATAAATCTCAAAATAAACCCAGTGAGTGAAGGTAAGACCATATTTAACACCTGGGGCTCTTACTTTACATGGGGTAGAATTTACCTGTCCTCTTCCCTGCAGCAACACTCAGAGTCCTTGACAGCTGAGAGAAGCAGCTCCTCTGAGCAGGGCAGTTTGGGAGGTGACTTCTTCCACTGGCTCTGTGTCAAAGGAATTGCAAGTGAATTAGAGATGGAGAGGAGGCACAGCTGCAGCACTGTCCTGCCTGCCACACCAAACCCCTTCTGTCCCCATGTGCCCCCTCAGTGGCAGGCATGAGGCTCTGTGTCCCTGGCACGTGGCACAGCCCCACTGACACCCTCTGAGATCCAAGGAACTGCAACAACATCCAGAAACCTGATTTCCCCATGTCCAGTGGCTCAGTTATAGCTGGTAGGATGTGATAAACTGGGAAATACAAGAGAGAGGCTGCTCACTCAGTGCTTGGGACAGGGTGCCATTGCTGTCAGAGCCCAGGGAGCTCTGGGAGCTCCATCCTTCACACAACAGCCCAGGAGCAAATGTGACTCTGCTTGTCCCCTTTGCTGGCACCAGAGCCACGTGCTGGGCAGCCAGCCCAGAGCATGCCAACCTGCCCAGCCTAGCACAGCCTGCACGGGCAGCCAGCCCTGCCCCAGCCCTGCACTGAGCTGTGCCCACAGAGGTGCCCCTGGGGCTCAGCCACCTCCACCTGCAGCTGCCAGGTCCAAAGACTTGGCAAGCAAGGCAGGAACACCCATCCCTCCCTCACCTGCCTGGCTTTGCTTCATTCTACTCCTTTTCCCTCGTTCACCCTCCCTGCCACCCCACAGCCTCCTGCAAGGCAGCAGGAGTTCAATCAGTGCCTGGATCAGGGGAGCACCCGAGCTGTTGCTGCTCCCTGATCCCCCCAGGGGCTGAGCACACTCCTGACAGGCACAGGCTCTCACAGGGTCTCCCCCAGGCTGTCCACATTTCCTGACGAGAATTTCTCCCCCCAAGTTGAAGCCACACAGCTTCAAAGGGTAACACCAGGGCAGCTGGGGGTCATCTCCTCCTGCTTCTCACTCCAGTTTCTTCCTGAAGAGCCAGGCAAGCAGAGTTGCCATGGCAGAGAGCATTTCCAGGCACACTGCAGAGCCTGCCTTCTCCTTCAGTGACCTACAAAGCTCAAACTGGGCCGTGCTCCTTTTAGCTCAGTGGGGATGTGAAGAAAAGGAGGATTTATTCTTCTCAAAGCAGCCAACCCTGCACACCCAGGAGCCTCAGACCTTCCTGTGCCCGTGCCTGCAGGGGTTGTGGATGAGCCCAGCCCAAGCAGAGCACCCCAGAGTGCTTACCTGGGGACACCAGGGAGCTTTCCTTCCTTCCTTCCTTCCCTCACAGCCAACTGTGCCCACACCACATCTCCTCCCATTCCTGCTCACATGCTGCTTTCCCATAATAATCTTTCAACACTCCCCCCATCAAAGCAGCTGGCAAGAGAAGGCAGGAGAGGAGGAGGCCTCACCAGGCACTCCATCCACACCCATGAGATGAAGCTGCCACCCTGCCCAGAGGGTGCCAGCCCTGGTCCCAGAGCCACACGTGCCCTGGGATGAGGGAAGCTGAGGGATGCAGGGCCCTTCTGCTCACACTTGGCAGCCTCAGTTGGCTCCTAATGCAATATTCTGCTTATTAAGAGAGATCTGTAAAGAGCAAGATGTTGGCTGTGTGCCCTTCCCAGGAGGAAAATAAAGCCTGTTGCTTTTAAGCCTCTTAGAAGCTGTTTCTCTCCTGTGCTTTCTTTCATCTTAATGTGAGCAGCACAAAACTCAGCCCATTTCTGACAGAGAGCTCTGTGGGATACCAGGGGGCACTGGGCTTTCCCCTGGCACTGAGCTGCCCCAGGCATCCATCCATCACCATTGACAGCCCTGCAGTATTCCAAAATTACCATCCAAAATGACCAGGTTTAAGTTCTGATGGAATCACCAATGTCTTGTGCAGGTCCTTTGGAGCAAGGATTCACTGCAAGCTCCTGAGACCCAAAAGGAGCTGGTTATCAGAGCAGGATGGAGAGAGGGGATGCTATTTCCAGCTACAAATGCAGATTAGCTCTTCTCAACTGGAAGAACAGCTTTTACTGGCTTCCTCTGCAAACTAACTACAGAGGATAAATCCACTATGGAACCAGAACCAGCACAATCAGTTAAACACAAAGACAGGCAAAGGACCCCCATGCTCCCCAGGGAATTGATATTTGCTAAATAAAATGGAAAGGATTCCCATTTACCTGCTGGGGCACAGCAGTGTGACAGACAGAGCCTCACACAGAAAGGGCTTGGCCCACCCTGATGGCCTCAGTCCCTGTGTCCTCCCTGGCTCTGTGCTCCCTGACCTCACTCCAGGCAGCTCCTGGGTGAGAAGATGGCAGCAGATTTGCAGGTCCCGTGCTCAGATCCCAGCTCTCAGCCCCAGGAGGGCTGTCTGAGGCTTCTCACACAGCCCAGGCACTGTGGGCAGCACCAGCCCTGCCTGTGGGGACACAGAGCTTTATATCCCATCTCCTCCCTGTGCTCAGCAGCCCCCAGCTCAGCAACTGAGGGATTGTAGGATCACAGAATGGTTTGGTTTGAAAGGACCTTGCAGCCCATCCCACTACAACATCCTGGCATGGCAGGGACACCTCCCACTGTCCCAGGCTGCTCCAGCCCTGCCCAGCCTGGCCTTGGGCACTGCCAGGGATCCAGGGCCTGCCCACCCTCACAGGGAACAATTCCCAATTCCCAATATCCCATCCAGCCCTGCCCTCTGTGAGGATGAAGCCATTTCCCCTTGTCCTGTCCCTCCATCCCTTGTCCAGAGGGCACTGATCTATACCCCAAAGCCCTGGTTCCCATCACTGACATGCTCAAAACTGACACAAAGCAACTCCCAGCAGTGATGAGAGGAGCTGATGTGTCAGGGTGCAGTGTCCCGTGCTGGCTGTATTTCCCTCTGTTACATCACTGCAGAAACAGTTTGGGATTCAAACATGGAAAGGTCTGCACATCCTACTTGCTTTCCAAACACTCACCAAAAATAACTGGTGTGCAGTGGGACCAGGGAATATTGTGCCACCAGAACAGGTAACACCATAAAACAAATAATGCCATGAAGAGGATGTACACAGTTAATTCAGATTTGCTCTGCTCATGCCATTCCTCCCCAGCAGCAGCTGTTTGTGCCTCAGGCTGCCTCCTCACAGATGAAATCTCCACGGGTGGGACAAACCTGGCAAGGGCAGAGCAGATGCTGGCAGGTCCAGCTCACGTGTGAGCCCTGCTGGTGCAGTGCTGGCCCAGCAGCTCTGAGTCAGCTCTGAGATCCATCCCACACTCAAACAGCCTGTGCTGTCCTTGCTGCTGCTGCTGCACTTGGGACTGAGATGCACAGAAACTCAGCTTTGCTCCCTCCATGGGAGCAGTGGCTCCAGCCTTGACACAGGAAGCAGCATTTGTTCATCCTCAGCCACATTCAGTGACGTTGACACTTCCAAAGCTGCTGCTGCAGATTTTTTGGAGCTCTTCCTCCATGAAAAAAAAACAACTTCTGATATTTGAAAAAGGAAAAAAAACCCCACTAAAATTCAATGAATAAATAAGAGAAAATATACAAGCTCTTTCAGCTTCACTGCACATCAAAGAGATGCAGATTGCAGCTTCCAGGCTTTTGGAAATACAGCTTTAAAAGCCAAGAGGCTGAAGATTCTGGGCTCTCACTGAGCCCAGCATTTAGAAATGCTTTAGAGATAGGAACAGCATTGTGGCCAACACCATCCCAGTTTTCCTGGCCCCAGGAAAGATACCTGTGTGCTACAGGTGACATGCTCCAGAAACTGGGAAACACTGAGACCAGGAAGGCACAAAAGGCCAGTCAGATGCTGCCAAAATGTCATTTGAGCCAAAGTCTGTTCCTTTTCAAAAGGAGCTTTAGGAGCACCAAGGAGGGAGAACCGAGCAGGGTGTGCTGAGGGGGACAGAGCCATACCCTGACTGTGGCAATCCCAATCCCTATCATCCTCCTCCACAGTGACATTTCTGAACAGCACCTCCAAACCCCAGCCTGGAGCTGCACATTCCCTGTTACACCTGTGCCTGGAGCTCACAGGGATGATGCCCTCTCCATGCTGTGCCCAGAGCTCCCAGGGATGATCCTCTCTGCCCATGCTGTGCCCAGAGCTCCCAGGCTCTGCCCTCTCCATGCTGTGGCTCAGCTCCCACCACACACAATCCCACCAGACAGCTCTTACCTCCAAAGGAAAGGCAGCACCAATCTCTGCTGAGCAAGCACTATCAGTGGTTATTTCTGCCTGGTTTTTATGCACAACAACAAAAAGATGTTTTCCATGCAAACAAGCCAAAGCTCCCCCTCAGCTTTGCCTGCTCCCATGCGCATTTGCTGCCCCCAACCTGCACATCACCTCCCGGAACCAGGAGGAGGAATAAACAGCACAGAGTGCTCCAGCCTCCTTCAGAGAGGATGTCCTGGCAATCCTTGACCGTGTGCCCGCTCCTGTACCCACTGCTAACCTTGGCAGCACCTCCTCAACTCCTCATCCCGCTCTCAGCCAAGGCAGCAAGGGGGCGCATGCTGCAACGCTCTGCACGGCGCCGATGGAAACAGAAACCCAAGTGAAGGACTGAAGGAAAGCTCTGTTCTTTTTCTGAGCAACTCAGCTGCGTTTTCCCAGGTCCAAGTCACTGCCAGAGAGCACAAACTCACTGTTCAGGAACAGCCAGGCTGCTCCCAGAACAGCAGATTTCTTCCACACTTCTGCATTAAGATTTCAGCTGCAGAAAATTGCTTCTTCCAGGAGGGTCAGGCTGTTCCTTCAGTGCAGGCACAGAAAGCTCAGCTGGCAAGGCAGGCCAGCAGCTCTCCTTTAAAACAAAGGAATGCTGGAGAAGAAGGTTTTTCATCATTTGAAGCAGGGATGTCAGACAGCCAGAGCTCCCTGCTCTGCTCTCCAGTGCGTGGATCTCCGGAGGAGCTTCCCCACTGCAGTTTTTACCTGGGGACCTTGCACAAATCCTGTGACCTTCTGTGTGCCACCATCACCCAGCACACAAACCACCTCAGAGCAGGATCCTCGCTGCCAGCCAGGTGCTGCATCCAAAGCAAGATTTGCCAGGGCATTAAATCCAAAGCACAATCAGATCATCTCCCCAGCGCAGCCCCGGCTCGGCTGTCCTTGGCCAGAGATTCAAATCACCACATCCAGCAGCTCCTCCTCATGGATACCAGAGAAACCAGACACTAAATCCTCCCTGCTTCAAACAAGGAGGCTCCATCTGCAGCTCCCACGAAGGGTTAAGTGCAGGAGAAACGCCTGCAGGACCTGCTGCCGCCTCTGGGATTCTCTCCAGTGCTGCCTCCGGATGGGCTGACCAAGCGCTCTTGGCTCTTCGCACCGGGGCTGCAGAAACAGCCTTGCCAGGACCTGCTTAACCTGGATATTTAAAGAAAAACCGGCCAAAAAGAAAAGAACAAACTGGGGTGGGTTGTTCTCTCTGCTGCTGGCTCCCAGGATGTGGCACAGGGCTGTGGGAAGCATCGCGCTGGCAAAGAGCTCACGGTGACAGCCAGGAGGGGCTGCAAGGGACGAGGGGGTCACAGCCCCACACTTCAAAACTGGACCCCAGCCCTTCCTGGGGAAAGCTGAGGTGTAGACAGAGCACTCTGCACCACCAGGGCAGCTGAATTTGGCCCCCAAAAGGCAGTTCTGTGAACACAGACAAGCAGGGAGCCAGGCAGCCCCACAGGCTGCCACTGGCCCACTCAGGAGTGCTCCCTGTTCAGACCCTTCCTGGCTGCACGGGAGAAGCCAGGCTGCCAAACACCAGGTGTGCTCATGGATGTGATTAAAGCAACATTAAAGATAAAGCTGAGCTCCTCTGCATCCTACCAGTGTGCTCCAGAGAGATGAGAAAGGGAGGGAGCTGCAAGCCAAACCCCTGGGGAAGCAGAGAGCTTCTCCATGAGACTTTCACTGCAGTTCACAAAATATCCAAGCTCACACTTGATAACATCCATGGGAAAGCATCCAGTGATAGCAGCAGCTGTTGCCTCCAGTCCTCTGTATCTACTTAATTTCCCCCCTGAGAGGATACATCCTGCATTACATCATCCCTTTGATATCTGTTAATAACGGTGATAACACAACCTGCCAGAATCTCAAGCAACTAAACCCAACATCTACTCCAAGAGTGTGTTTTAATGTAGCATGAAGCACAACTGTGCCACAAGAATAGCTGCTCATTGAAACAAGCAAACAAAAATAGCCCAGCTCAAGAAGCTTAAGAGCAAGCAGAAGCCTCAGGAGGTCAGGAGAAGATCCAGAGCTCTTAAGCACAGTCACAGATCCGAGCTCACCTCTGATGGCAGCCCAGAACAGAGGCTTAGGGATGAGCCAGGAAGGGATCAAAGGCAGCACTGTCAGTCCCTCCCACTCCCAGCACTCATGGTTTGGAGACTGGGCAGCCTGGAGGTTCTCCATGGAGCACCCCAGGTCATTCCCAGGCACCAAGTACTGCTCTTCAGTTACCTACACAAAAAAGCATCTCCTGTCTCCCATGTGGGGGAGACCAGCACAGATAAGGTAAATACACAATGAGTACCCACTATGTCTCGCAGCAAACCCCAGGGTTTTATAGATTCCCTTTCCAACATCAAATTAAAAATATTTTATTTCCTTAAGCACTCACTCTTTCATTTCTCCCTCCTTCTGTAGAATTTTTTGAGAGAAAGTCAAATAGCAGAGCTACATCACTGCTGAATCAGACTGAGGACATGTGTGACGTCCATTAAATGACACAGAGAGCTCCAAGGGAGGAAGAAATTAGAATCAGAGCTGATCAGCAGTTTTGCATTTCAGCTTCAGAATTAATCAGCACCCAAGAGCGTATTCAGAATTCCCTTGCAGATTTTGCAACACAATGAAATAATTTGGAATACATTGGTGGTGATTCCAGATCCATTTTCAGGGCTGTACAGAACATTTGCCAGGGACTGAGGAGAGCAGCAGTCACTGTAGCTCCAGTCTCCAGCAGGAGCATCTCCCATGCTCACAGATCCCCCTGCCTCGGTGCCAGGGAAGCTGCTGACACTCAGATTTAACTGGTACAATGTCACCTTGCACTTTTTCTGAGGACTAGTGTGAAGTGCCCTGTGTCACTCGGTTTTATGCAAGGGCCAGGCTCACTCTTTGCAAAGGAGAGGGGTTTGGGGTTCAGCAGGACCGTGTGTGTGAGGTCTGAGCTGTCTCCTGAGTCCCAGCAAGGAGCAGCCACACACATCCCAGGATGTGCACTGGAGGAACTCTTCCATGCTGAGGCCATTCCTGTTACCACACTCACCTCCTTGCTCCCACAGAACTTCCCAGTTCAGACTGGGGCCTCTCCCAGGGCCACTAGCACGGGGCTGGATTGTCCCCTGGCACAGGAGGAGGCACTGGCACTGCCCTGCTCCCAAGCCCAACTCATCTGGGCTGCTCAAAGGTGGATGATGATGTCCCAGAGGGGAAAACCCTTGGATTAATCAACAGCCAGTGAGTGTGCCCAGTGCTGGGCACCCCTGAGTTACACAGAGCTCCTGCCATCCCCAGTTCTTCCTCCAGCTCCCACCTGACCTGGCCAGTCCAGCAAAGTCATTTTCACTCCTCCATGACTGTGGTTTCAATTTGCAGCACCAGTTCCTGCCAACTCCTTCATAACCCCTTCCCCAAAGCTCCTACTGAAATCTGGGACAGAGCTGGACTCCAAGCAGCCCTAACACACAGCACAGCCCTCACATCCCTCCCCAGCTCCCTGCTCTGGGCTCTTCCCAGCCCTTTCTCTGTCACAGAACCCCTCAGTGCCTCGCTGCTCCATCTCTGGGCAGGGCTTTGGAGCAGTCTGAGGCAGGGTCACTGCTCCCCCAGCACAGGATGGCACAGGGGAGATTCAAGCCCATAATAGCAGGATGCCCTCAGGGCAGGTAAAAACAGCTCAGCTGCTCAAATCCTCTGCTGAGCCTGAGGAAGGCAGAGCAGCTGCCACGGTTACGACACTGAACCGATGGGAACTGCTTTCTCTCACATCAGAGCAGCTCAGCAGGCAGCTCCAAACTGAGCTCCCACCACGCTGAACCCTCCTGAGCCATGGCAAGGAGAGTCTGAAAGGCTCAATTTACACCCCCTGTGGCAGCCATGAACTCTGGGGGAAACCTCTGCTCCCAAAACACAAACATGCCCCAGATGACACCTCTGTGAAGACCTGCAACGGGCCCAGGGAAAGGGCTGATATTGAACTGCAGGAAAGGGAATGTATTCCCCTCTTGCTCAAAGCCTAAGTGAAGGTTTTGGAAGAGCTGAGTGATCCCAGCAGTGCAGGTGGGAAGGACAAGCTGAGGCTTCAGCACAGGCCCAGCCTCTTGTGAGCTCTTCCTGATACAGCACAAAGCAAATAAAGGCATTTAGTTAATCAGGAGACAAGCCAAAGATGCCTCTAAGAAAAGGGCAGCATGCACACACCAGCAGCAGCTTTTTATCCAGTGCAAAGCTAAAAACACAAGCCCAGAGGAGTGGGCAGCAGCCAAAATCCCATCCCCTACTCCATATTCCAGGCTTTATCCTCCCCTCCAACACATGGATCCTGCTCCCCTCCTGCCCTGAGCTGGGAGACTGGAACCCCTCAGGACCTCAAAACCATCCCAGCCTGGAGTCACTGCAGCAGGGGTGCAGCTTTGGCTCTAGTCCATCATTTCCTCCCAAGATGGAGCTGCACTGAATCCCATGGGATCCTTTCCCTCTTTGTAAAAGAAAATGCTTTAAAATTAAATGCTTTAAAAGGAAATGCTTCTCATTTGGAGAAATAATCAATAAAATCTAACAGGCTGCTTTTCATTCATCCCCAGCCAGAAATGTAATCTGCTGTTAACAGCACAGCCCTGAACACATCATTTATCTGCTGCGGGTAGCAGCACGCACAGATTTTACAGCTGGAGAGAGTGGGGCTGCCTGCATCACAACCACTAATTTATTCTCAGAAAGGCTAATTTAATCTGGCAGTGAATGTTCTCAAAGCCTCCTCACACACAGAGCAGCTTTTCTCTTGGTTGGCTTAACAACAATCCAGCATATCCAAAAACGTGGAGGGATGCTAAGGAAGAACACTGCCCCTGTGTTTGGAGCCCTCTAGTCTGAGAAATTTCTCTTGGTAACTACAGGCTTTGGGAAAACATAGAGTCCCTCTGGTTTTTCAAAAAGCCAACTGTATTTTCAAGGCAAATATACAACAGGTTAGGCTATTTCTCTCTCATATACAACTGTGGCTTGACAGAAAGAGCTGGGCTCTTAATAAAACTAAACCCAGCAAAGGTTGTTCAGTATTAGACAACTCATTCACTTCCAAGTGCACACCAAGAGCAGCAGCCAGCACACCTGGCCTGGGGTGCTCCCTGCCACAGCAGGTGACTTTCCCTAGCCCACACTACAGAGGAATGAACTTCACGACAAATCCAAAAGCTTTTTGTTTCAAAAGGCTGGGTAACTGCACCATGAAGTGTTTCAGAGAGAGCACCCTTCAGCTTCCTAGCTCTGCCATCTCCGGGGGCAATAAATAAGCCATCAGAAAGGGTTTTTTCATTGTTTTTAAATTCTAGGTGGTATTTTCCCTTTACTTGTCACAGTACACACAGGCTGAGCCCCCTGACCCTCCATGGACGTGGCACCACGTGCTGGTCCTCACCTGGAGACCACTGGAGAGCCAAGCACAGCTCCCTGGAGCCACAGGGGCTACACCAGGGCAGACTGAAGCTTTAGAACAGATAAATCAACCCTCCATGCTAACTAACCATCCATGGGATTGTCCCCACCATCCTGCTGGGAAAGAAAAGCTGCTGCTGTGCAAGCCTGGATCAGGTCTGAGAGGGCCCCTCTGCTACGAGGGCCAAAACGTGCCCAGATGACATCCAACAATTTAGGAGGATTCAGTAATGTGGGAAAAAGGCAAAAATCAGAGGGAAGCAGAGCACTTACTAGGCCACAGGAGAAATAGAGAAGAAAACAACACAACAGTCCCCTTGTTCCTATCTGTCAGGAATTGCTGTCCCAAGAATAGCCTATTCAGAAAGCAGGAAACTCAGAGAGCAGCAGGGAAGGGCTGAGTCATGGCCATTTGGAAAAAAAAAGAAACAACCCACAACAAACCAACCCAAAAGGGAAGGAGAAAAACCATGGGACAGCAGCTGTTCTGGGTCTTGGAGATATGAGCAAGTCAACCCAGAACATATTAGCCAATCTTTATTTTCAAAAGCTCTGCAAACAAATGGCACTGCCATTAAATTCATCTGACCCTCCCTCTGCTTGTGGGAAGCAAATTGTTGTACCAGGAAAAGTTGTTGGTGCTTCCCAGCACAGCCCCTGGCTGCCAGGACACAAATCGCTCCCAGTTTGT